GCCTCCCCTGGCCACCAGCATAAAACCGTGGCACTTCACTAGATTTTCCATAACACCGTCTTCTGACGTCCTACATACTCGTTTCTGTGGCCTAACATTGGCCGTCCTATCTGCCCACTGCTAGAACGTACACTCCTTGAGGGCAGGGTTTGCTCTTCCCCCAGTCTATCCCCAGCGCCTCGAACGGTACCGGGCAGGTACTAACCAAGTATGTTTTGCATCAGTGGATCTGTGCCAGACTTCAGCAGAATCTGGGGTAAAAAGGCCCCTCTATCAAAACGGTCGTAGTTCCACATAAACAGAATGATAGTGCTGTATGAAAAAGGGGATACACTGAGGAGGGCTTCCCACAGAAGTCATTCCAGCAGAAGGGGGTTCCCCTGGGCCCACAGCAACAGGGTTCCCCTTGAATTTGCTCTTCCCGTGGAAGAGGGAGAGAAACGGGAATGTGCCGGGTGGCCTGCCGGGCCCTGACCTGGTCCCTGCCCACCTCCCCCGCCAGCTGTCCATGCTGTTCACGGAGGAATGCGACAAGGTGCGGGACCTGATGCACGTGCACTCGTTCAGCTATGACTTCCACCTGCGCCTCGTGCACCAGCACGTTCTGGGCGCCCACCTAGTGCTGCGGCACGGCTACCACCTGACCACCTTCCTGCGGCACTTCCTGGCCCATCACCCCGATGGGCCCCACTTCGGCCGCAATCACATTTACCAAGGTCGGTGCTCAAGGGTAGGCCAGTGAACCAGAGATAGACCACAGGGCGTCAAACCAGGGCCGGTGGGACTACTTCCTGGACCAGACCTCCTCACCTCCTGTCCCGTATTGTTAATCACCTTAATGTCACTTGGACCATGTTCCCGTGTCTCTGGTTTGTGTCTTAAGTTCTTCACCCTGTTTCCTATCAGAGTTTAGATCCTGCCCTCGATCTGTCTGTTCTGAGCCACTTTGGGCCCATCTCGATGTTCGACAGGACCTTAGGAGTCCCCCAGAAAAACAGAGCCAGTCCACCTGTCAATCAGAGCCTTAGGAATGTCCGTCCCCCTGTCCCACCTATTCAGTATGTCTGTCGCAGGCTCAGCGTCTCCTGTAACTTGCCCCTCAGGGACACTGGAGCTCTCCACACCACTCATCGCTGCCCACCAGCTGTACAACTACGTAGCTGACCATGCCGGCTCCTACCACATGAAGCCATTGCGGATGGCCCGGCCAGGAGGCCCAGAACATAACGAATATGCCCTGGTATCGGCGTGGCACAGGTGAAGTGGTGGGGGGAGGGGGGCACCAGCATGTGCTCTGGCAGAGCTGAGGTCAGGGCCATCCGGGCAGTAGGGAGACTGGTGTTTTCTCAAGCCCCTGGCTTCATTAGAACCTCGGGATTGGCATCTTCCCCACCCACACTGTACAGCTCCGGTTCCTACCTGGACTCGGAGGGGCTTCGTCACCAGGACGATTTCGATGTGTCTCTGCTGGTGTGTCACTGTGCTGCACCCTTTGAAGAGCAAGGAGAAGCCGAGCGGCACGTTCTGCGGTCAGCGGATCCCCCGCCTCGAATGTGCTCGTTGCCCAGCCTCTCCTGTACCCTTGCTCTCTGTGTCTCCTGCTCTGATCACCACATTCCTACCCCTTCCCCACCCCAGGCTGCAGTTCTTCGTGGTGCTCACCAGCCAACGAGAGCTCTTCCCCAGACTCACCGCGGACATGCGCCGGTTCCGGAAGCCACCCAAACTACCCCCTGAGCCAGAAGCTCCTGGGAGCTCAGCTGGTAGTCCTGGGGAGGCCTCGGGGCTTGGTCTGGCCCCTGGACCAGCTCCCCTGTTCCCCCCACTGGCTGCAGAGGTGGGGGTGGCACGGGCACGGCTGGCTCAGCTGGTCCGGCTGGCTGGAGGGCACTGCCGTCGGGACACCCTCTGGAAGCGCCTCTTCTTGCTGGAGCCTCCGGGGCCTGACCGGCTACGGCTGGGGGGGCGCCTGGCCCTGGCGGAGCTGGAGGAACTCCTGGAAGCAGTTCATGCCAAATCCATTGGGGACATTGACCCCCAGCTGGTAAGTGGCTGTGGGTTCTAGAAGGGGCTGGTTTGGATACTAGGGATTCTAGCAGCAGCCGGGGGAGACGGTGCAGAGATCTCAGGTGGCTCTGAGACAGCAGATCCAGCTCCATGGACCTTCCCCTAGGACTGCTTCCTGTCTATGACGGTTTCCTGGTACCAGAGCCTGATCAAGGTTCTCCTAAGCCGCTTTCCTCAGAGCTGTCGCCATTTCCAGAGCCCAGACTTGGGAACTCAATACCTGGTAAGTCTCTTTGAGCCTCCTCTGAAAGGGGAGATGTAGCCGAAGGCCTCATCAGAGAGATAACAGGTCCCTGAAGGAGCCCCAGCCCAACTAAATGAGGCCTGCTTTGGTGGGAGGCCTAGATGGAACGGGGTCCATGTGAAACCCTTCAAGCACTGAGCAGCAAGCCTCGACATAGGAATTGTGAGAACAACCTAGAGCTCTGACCTTAAAAGCTCACAGAAAGGGACACCTCGGTGGCTCAGTTGTTAAGCGTCTGCCTTCGGCACAGGTCATGATCCCAGGGTCCTGAGATCGAGCCCCACATAGGGCTCCCTGCTCGGCGGGAAGCCTGCTTCTCCCTCTCCCACTCCCCCTACTTGTGTTCTCTCTCTCACTGTCTCTCTCTGCCAAATAAATAAATAAAATCTTTAAAAATATATATAAATAAAAATAAGCTCACAAAAAAACACAGACCTTTGGCTAGAGATCCAGAGGGCCAAGCTCTGGAACCTCATCAGTGGTTGGTCTTAGGGGCTGGAATCCCAAGAAGGACCTCTGTGGCTTTAAGGCCTCGTTACCCAGTGTGGTTTTTACCCCAGTGGCAGCAGCACCTGGGAGTGTGCCAAAATGCAGACTCTTGGGCCCCAGCCCCGACCCGCTGACTCAGCACGTGCCTTCTAGCCCAATCCCCAGGTGCACGTGAGAAGCTAAGCACTACCTGGGCCAGGTAGAGGGAAAAAGGCTCAGGTGGTGGCCAGAGAGCATGGGGGCTGAGAGACTGAAGAGTGGGCCTGATGAGAGTGGTGGTTGTGGGGAGGAGGCGTTCAGAAGAAGACTCCCCAAAAAGTAGGCGTTGGCCCATAGGGAGGGTTCCCGCAGCACTGCTTGGGGGGAAGGCCACCTTCAGGGTGTGAAGGGGCATCCTGGCATGCTGAGGTGGTAAGGCTGCAGTTGTGCAGGGGGGTTGAGCAGATGGGGGTGCTCCTGCGGGTAGTGGGAGCACTAAAGCAGGAGTGGCTTTGGGGGAAGGGTGAGGAGTTGGGTCGGAGGTCCATGAGGCCCTCCCAGGACCACACTCTAGAAGGTTTATGGACCGGAGCCCAGGAGAGAGAGAGAGACCTGGGCAGCATCTATGTGAACAGGTGGTCACTGAAGCCTGGGAGTAGAAGGAATCATCTGGAAGAGATCACAGAGCTGAGCAAAGGGACAGTCAGACATAGGGGGACAGTCCCAGGGGAGGTCAAAGAGATACAAGACTCAGGACAGGAGGCAAGGAGGGGTTGTGCAAAGGGTAGAGAACTCTCCGTCACTGATGAGATTCAGTGTGCTAGCTTTGTACGGGGCCTCTAGATAGACAAGTTCTGAAACCTTCCAGTCGGGCGCCTCTCCCTCATTGTGATGAGGCCGGTCAGGCTGCCAGGGAGCCAGCGAGGATGAGGACTGAGGTTCAGTTTAGAGACAAGGTCCTGGGCGACCGGAATGCAGGTGGGCTCAGGTGTGGCGATGGAAACAGGCCTTCCTCACACCGGTCCTACTTCCAGAATGCCCTCAAGGAAGGTGAATGCCGCTTCAGGTGACACAGACCTCACTCCCCATGTCACTTTGTCTTTCACTGCAGGTTGTACTGAATCAGAAGTTCACGGACTGTTTTGTGCTGGTGTTTCTGGATTCCCACTTGGGAAAGACGGTGAGAACAGGGGTGAGGGGCTTTGTGTCAGCCTAGTGGGAGGCTCCCCCCTGGAGCCTGCTGAGGTTGGGGAGCCCTGCTCCCCCTGCCTCCCCCCGCCACCTCTCACCACTGCACCCCTGCCATGTTCCCCACAGTCTTTGACAGTGGTTTTCCGAGAGCCCTTCCCAGTACAGCCCCAGGACAGCGAGAGCCCCCCTGCCCAGCTGGTCTCCACCTACCACCACCTTGAGTCCGTCATCAACACAGCTTGCTTTACCCTCTGGACCCGCCTCCTCTGAGGCCCAGACCAGTGAATGTCACTGTTCCTCGAACCATGGGGGCCTGGAAGATTGCCCACTCAAAGCAGGACTGACCAGCCCTTCTGGGCCCGGACACTGAAGGACACCAAAAGCTTTGTGACTAGCTCTCAGGGGTCTGCAGCCCCAGCCTCGCAGTGGGAGCTGCCCTCCTGAGCACTTGCCACTGCTGACCGGCCCAGCGCTTCAGAGGGGCAGAGCAACTCCCTGAGGTGCCTGTCTCCTTTCAGGCCCCTGGACCCTTCCAGAAAGGGACTGCCCCCTCCTGCTCACCTGGTGGAGTCCCAGGAACTCACACCAGGTGGCAGGCACTCACCCCGAGAGCCCCTCTGCCTGAACGCTGCCTCCAAGTCTCGGATTGCCGTCAGCCACCCCAGCCCCACGTTGAGCCCTCTGGTCTTCATTTCCCACTTGAACATCATTGCTGGACATTGCCGTTGAGATATGACACCTTGGTTCCAATGTCAGCCCTGCCTCTGAAGCCTCTGTGACCACAGGCCAGTCCTTCAGCTCTCTGACCTGCGGTTTGTGGTGTGTAAATGAAGATGTGGGCTCAAAAACCCCCGTGTGCACAGGAGAGTGGAGCACTTGGGTGTGAGCCATCCATCCTTTCTCGTCGCTTCTTGTCCCTTCTCACCAGGAGGGAAGCAGCCCCGGGAGAGCGAGCGGTTAGACACTGTCCCCCACCCGCCCAATCACACACACACACGCACACGGGAAAATGTTGAGCAGGTGGTCTTTAATTGAGGCGATGCAGGCTGCTTGGCGCCCTGTCCCACAGAGGCGGGGGGGGGGGGGGCAGGGCAGGACCTCACCGGCCAGCCTGCGGGCGGCCCCGCCTATCCCAGTACGAACGAAGCCAACTCAAGCCCTCTACTGTGTCTCCTGGGGAGAGAGGGAGGTGGCCGTGTCTCAGCCGGTGAGGAGAAAAGCAGCCATGTCCAATACCTGTCCCTCCAGAGCTCCCTTCCCCAGGGCCCGGCCTGGGGCCCCAGCACCCCCCTTACCTTGAGGCCGGTACTCGCAGCCCACAAAGCCCCTGTAGCCTTCATCCTCCAGCAGTTGGAATAGATAGGGGAAGTTCAGCTCTCCGGGGCTGTCAGGCTCCCCCCGGTCCGGGACCTGTGCCGCCTGCACGTGCCCTGGACACAGATGGGGGCAGGTGTGGGGCCAGGCTCCAGCTGAGGCCTGAGGGACAAATGCGAGCAGGCGGAGGGTTGAAGGGGTGGGAGCCCAGCAGACAAGGAGCAAAGAAAGACCCCTCACCAATGAGGGGCAGGAACTCCCGTATGTTTCCTGTCAGGTTCCCATCCATGATCTGCCAGTGGAATAGGTCCTGAGTAGAGAACGCTAGTCAGAGACCCTGCAGGCCCCCTGGCCCCCCGCCCCATTCTCCCCAGATGTGGGGAACACGGGCCTTCTGAGAAGCACTCCCTTTCTTCCACCTACCATCTGTAACTGGAGGTTGGGTCTTCCAACCTTCTGTAAGATGGCTGCCGCTGGGAGAGAAACCGGGGAGGGGGCCATGAGACCCAAGGAGAGCACAAGAATCAGAGGGGACTGGGGGGGGGGGCACAGGGCTGCGGTCCTACCCTGCTGGGGGGTGTCCAGGAAGTACCGGGGGTCAGTGATGCGGGTATTGATGGGCTCCAGCAGTCCCACGAGGCTCTCCTAGCACCACGGTGGACCCGTGAACTGAGCTCTGCTCCAGTTTCGTCCCCCTCTTGGCCAGTCACTGGTGAAGCCCCTCACCGTTCCCTCTGAGCTGGGCTAGTGCCGGGCCTCGTGCCTCATTTGCTCGCCCCTCTGTGCACCCCCCTCCGCACACACAGGCATTCGCGTAAGTACGCGTGTCTGCATGTCCTTGGTCTCACCTGGGCCAAAACCCCAGCTGCGTGCCTCAGGTTCTCCAGAAAAACCGTCTCCATTTCACTCCTGACTGCTGCTCGGTCAGCCCCCTGGGGTACCCGGCCAGCCATCAGGTGAATCCTGGGGGAAGGTGGCACTGGAGGAGGCTGGGGAAGCCATCCTGACTGCAGGGCCCTCGTTCCTCTGGCTCCCAGTGGGCGCCGCCTCCAGCTGCCCTCCCAGCCCCCCACCCCTCGCCCACCTGTGTCAGCTTGAGATACCTTCTGAGGGTCACCCCATCCTCCCACCGCAGAGACCTCTCATTTAGCCCTCCTTTCCAGCGGGCCCTCTCCTGGGGCTATAAGCATGCACGGCAGCCTCTCTTCCTAACAAGTATTTTGACCCTTTCCCTTAAGTACTCCGAGCTGCCTGTCTCCGTGCCTTGCATCTGTTCCTTAAAGCCTTCCCATCTGCTTTCAGCCCCCACCACTCACCAGTAAGGACCCCTGTTGCCGGTTCCATCTCAGCCCGCTTACCCTCAGTGGGGTCTGACATTTATTTGATCAGCCCCACTGTGCCTCTTCCACCTCCTGCTGCCATCTCCTGATCTTTCTTGGCCACACCCAGCTGCAAAGGGCCACATCTCCAGCCTCAGGAACTCTGCTGAGCGCCCCAAGCCTTCTCTTGTCTCTGGCTGCTGCATCCTCGCCTCCAGTGCTCCTTACATCAAGCAAATGCCTATTCATTCCTTTGAGACCCAGCTCAACATCACTACCTGTAAGAAGCTTCCTCGGATCCCAGACAGGTGCCATAAACTGACCCTTCCTCCAATGGATCACTCCATAGGTTTACTTTGCTATCTCCCTAGCCAGGCAGCTCCTGGCACTGGATCCCAGCATGAAAGAGTAGCCAACTGAGAATGACACAGGACAAATAAAAACACAAAAGGCAATTTACAAAGGACCGGGGCTGGCGGAGTGGAAAAGGGCCCGTGTGCTGACTCCCGAACCTTTCCAACCTGGCGTTCCGTTCTTCCAGACCCCAGACGTGGGGCAGGGTCTTGGAGGGGACAGGGCAGGATGGGGAGGAGGTGGAGGAGAGGGTAGGATACCTGGGACAGCCCAGAGCCTTGGCGTACAGCACTGCCCGCTCCAGCCCCTCTCGGAAGGCCGCTTGCCTCCCGGGAACGGCCCCCAGCCCCATTTCCCCTTTCTCTCGGTCTCCTGCGGAGAGAACGAGCCTCAGCCCAGGCCCGCGTCCTCGGGCCTCCCGGCGCCCCCCCCGCCCCGGCCCCGCGGCGCACCAGGGGGCGTGTTGATCAGCACCAGCCGCAGCCCCGCTTCCCGCGCCGCGCGCGCCAGTGCCTCGGGCTGCTCCGCGTACGGCCAGGCCACCTCCGCGGCCTCGAAGCCCGAGCTGCCGGCCGCCCGGAGCCGCGCGGGGAGCCCGGGGAGCTCGGGGAACAGCCACGACACGTTGGCCGAGAAACGGAGCGGAGCCATGGCCGGCCGGGGACACGCGCGCAGGGTAGAGTTAGGGACCGGCCGGAAGGCGGAAGCAGGCGGGGGCGCCGCGGAACGGACCTGACCCCGCCCGGCGGGGGAGCGCGGATCCCGGGGGGAGGGCGCTGCGGGGCCGGGTCGGGAGGGGGAGCGCGGATCCGGGGGGAGGGCGCTGCGGGGCCGGGTCGGGTTGGGGGGGGAGCGCCGATCGGGGGGAGGGCGCTGCGGGGCGGGGTGGGGCGGGGGATCGCCAATCCCGGGGGAGGGCGCTGCGGGTCTGGGCCGGGCGGGGGATCGCCGATCCCGGGGGAGGGCGCTGCGGGGCCGGACTTGGCCCGGCGGGGGAGAGCGCGTCTGGGGAGCCCGACCCGACTGGGGGCGCGCTGGCGCCGTGAGCCGAGCCAAGAGCCCTCTGTGCCAGCCTTTTTTGGTTAGAAAAGTAGTGTGGGATAAAGACCGCGGATGGTTCAGAAAAGTGACATTTTTCGAGACTGGAGAAGGGGAAACGTGGGAGAGGTGACAGAACCGAGCGAGAGGAGCTTGGCCCTGGTGTGGGCGGGAGAGCCCCCCCCCCCCCGCTCCAACCACGGGAGGGTAGACGGGGCGGGGGGGTGGGGGAGGAGGCTGGGGTCCCCTGGGCTGAGAGCCCGGAGATAAGGCAAGAGAGAGCTGGTCCGTCCTGAGAACCCAGTTAAAAGTGAGGAACGTGAACTTTAACAAATACTTAGTATTTACCCTCCTTATAAAAATAGTATCTGTTCATTATGCAACGTTTGAAAGCTACACGACGAAATCAAGAACATTTAAATCACCAGTCATTACACCACTAACCGTTAACTTTCCCTTACAGATTAAAAAATAAAAGCAGGGTTTTTTTTCTTAGTGAATTCTGATCATACTTGTACATGCAGTTTTATGGTCTGCTTTTTCATTTAATATTTTGTTAACATTTCCCCGTGTTCGATATCGCTCAAAGTCGTTGCATTCGCTGCTCATTGTGCCATACCCGCAGCCCAGAATTTATCCTACTGCTCTGTTGATGGTCATTAGGGTTTTTCAACATTCGTGTGTGCGTGCATTCGCCATTCGTGTGTGTAATGCACCTCTTGGCTCCATCTCTGAACTTTTTTCTTAGGTTCCTTTGAGATGTCCATTACAGTATTTGCCAGCCCAAAGTCCTTTATAAGGGAAACTGGCCTCACCACTGGTCTCTGCACTGAGCGGCTATGGGTGGGCTGTTCCCTCTTATCCCCAGCTGATTGGGCCACAGGAGGACATCTGATCCAAGGGCAGCCAATGCCTTTGCTGGCCGAAGACCCATTACTTGCCTAGTTTGGAAAGATGATCTGGCCAATCAGATTCTCTTTCTCAAAGTTCAAACCAGGAAGTACTGAGAAAGTCAACTAAGAGGTAGTCTTGCCAAAAAATGATTGTGGCTGTAGAAACAAAGTGAGCAGGAGTCGGTAAAGGAATGCCAGCGCAGACAGCGGGGTAACCAAGCACTAGAGTACTAGGGGTAGAAGTAGCAAGTTGAGAAACCTCGCCGTAGAGTTTCTCGGGCTGGCGAAACCCACCCACAACTACATCGGGTCTGTGCACTTCCCAGGCTGGGATGTTTAGACTTTCCTGGGTTTCTGTGTCTGTAGCCTCTTAATGTTTCTTAAGAGAATGCGAATGAGTGTATTTCATCCTCAATAACCCGAGTGATTGGGAAGATTCCTAAGGTTGGAATTACATAGCAAATAGAAACATGTTTAAGGTCTTGATGCTCTGCTAAATTGCTTTTCAAAATTATTGCAAGTTTATACTCCACCAGTACGTGAGCGGAAGTCCTCTTGGTCTGTTTTCTGTGCTAGCTTTGACAGAAGGAAACTCCAAGGGCAACATTAGGAGCACCCAACTTCCACTGCCTGTTCCATCGCTGCTGGCCTCTATCCCAAGGCAGGCCCACTCAGACGCCTGGGGTCCAGGCGGGCATCAGAGTTCATCCAAGCAGCCAGCAAGTTCCGTTTCTTCAGCTCTGCCTCTAAGAACAGACGGCCACCAGCCAGTCCTGATCACCTGATTTCTTGCCCCTTTGCAGCTGGTGTTATACTTGGAACTTTGACTTGTCCTGAAATGTGTTTCTTGGGTATAGTCCAATCAGGATGTGACCTCACTAAGTTTAACATTTTAATCAATCCCAACTTCAGCATGTTTGTAGTCCAATGTTGACCATGCAGAATAACATCTAAGGAAAGTAATCCCTTTTTTTTTTTTTTAAGATTTTATTTATTTATTTGACAGAGAGAGAGAGCACAAGCAGGGGGAGCAGCAGGCAGAGGGAGAGGGAGAAGAAGGCTCCCTGCTGAGGAAGCAGCCCGATGTGGGGCTCGATCCCAGGACCCTGGGATCATGACCTGAGCCGAAAGTAGACGCTCTACTGACTGAGCCACCCAGGTATCCCGAAAGTAATTCCTTTTTAACACTTCACTGTAAATCTCTGAGTGTGTAAATTCTACTTAAGACTTTAAAAGTACCACCATCCACTGGGGTCCACTCCTTTGTGTGTGTACCCTTTAGGGCGGCAAAGATGATGTATAATATAAACTAGAGGGGCATGACTCACTTTCCCCCTTAATTTTCTTCAACACCTTCATATGATACATCAAAATAAATGCAAAAGGAGGACAATGCCCGTGAAAATTATTTTCTTTTTTTTTTAAGATTTTAAGTAATCTCTACACCCAATGTGGGGCTCGAACTCACGACCCCAAGATCAAGAGTCACATACTCCACCAACTGAGCAGCCAGGTACCCCAGAAATTATTTTCTTTTTTTTTAAATTTTTTTTCTATATATATATATTTTTTTAAGATTTTATTTATTTGCGAGAGAGAGAATAAGAGACAGAAAGCATGAGAGGGAGGAGGGTCAGAGAGAGAAGCAGACTCCCTGCTGAGCAGGGAGCCCGATGTGGGACTCGATCCTGGGACTCCAGGATCATGACCTGAGCCGAAGGCAGTCGTTTAACCAACTGAGCCACCCAGGCGCCTCAGAAATTATTTTCTTTACTCACTGTTTGACTTTCTACCATATACCACTTTGCAACATAGGCATTACACTAAGTTATTATTCCAAATCTTGATTCTTTGCATTTAACTTTTTTTTTTTTTTAAGATTTTATTCATTTATTTGACAGAGAGAGAGATAGCGAGAGCAGGAACACAAGCAGGGGGAGCGAGGGAGAGGGAGAAGCGGGCTCCCCGCTCAGCAGGGAGCCCAATGTGGAGCTCAATCCCAGGACTCCGGGATCATGACCTGAGCCGAAGGCAGACGACTAACAACTGAGCCACCCAGGTGCCCCTTTGCATTTAACTTTTAAGGAAAGAATTTGGTATGACAATGAGTTAAGGTAACAACAACTTATAAATAGTTACGTGGATGGTGGCTAAGACTTGAGTGTAGAGTTCAGAGTCTTGTTTGATCACTGGATTGCACTTGCCAGTGTGGTTAAAAAATACACACACAGCTCATGTGAAATGCCAATCAAAACCTCAACGAAATTCATCTTATACCTTCCAGATTGACAACAAATTTTAAGTCAGACATCAAATATTGGATTGGATTTGGAACAACAGGAACATTTATTCACTGCTGGTAGAAGTGTGTGAATCACTACAATCACTTTGGAAAACCATCTGGCAGTATCTCTGAAGGCTGAACATCCATATACAAAGGAACTGTGGTTCCTTTCCCAGGTATATCCCGTGAAGGAATGTTTGCACAGGTGTCCCAGGAACCCCGTGATGTTCATAGCAGCACTATTTATGTAGCAAAAATACGGAACGAACCCCAATGTCCACTAATATATATAGAGATGAGTCACAGGATAGCCATCCAGTGTTGTATAGAAAAGTGAAGAGAAAGCTGATGGCTCAAATAATACAATTGAGTTTGCTCTTGCATTCATTCAGTGATAATATGAAGGGCTTAGTGAAGTTTGGGTCAAATTGGAAACATCGGTGTGAACACATCAACCGGATAAATCTCAGAAACATAATCTTGAGTGAAAGCAGCAAACCACAGAGAAATACATAGAGTGTGATCCCATTTATACAAAGTCCAAGGCAGGGAAGACCAAACAATATCTTGGGTAAGGATACGAGCAAGTGAATAATGATTGCAAAATTCAGGGTGAGAGTGAGCTCCAGACGGGGAGGGAAGAGGGGAGCATCAGAGGCTCCAATACTGATGACCATCCCCTTTGTCTTATACCGGCTGAGATGATCCTGTATGCACGCACCTCCGTTTTATCACTACTCTTTCTATCTCGCATCTCTTTTATAAATACTATTTTGTATCTGTTCCATATTTAATAAAAATGGTTTGTAAAACCTTCTGTAAGCATTACTGCCGCCTGTTAGCACATTTTGCATTAACATCCTTCTGGTTGCGTCATCTTTTTTTTTTTTTTTTTAAGATTTTATTTTTTTTTATTTGAGAGAGAGAGAATGAGAGAGAGAGAACACATGAGAGGGGATAGGGTCAGAGGACGAAGCAGACTCCCCGCCGAGCAGGGAGCCCGATGCGGGACTCGATCCAGGGACTCGATCCAGGGACTCCAGGATCATGACCTGAGCCAAAGGCAGCCGCTCAACCAACTGAGCCACCCAGGCGCCCTGGTCGCGTCATCTTAATCGCAAGGCTTTTCCTACAGACTCAGCTTGTTTGGAATAGACTGTAATCACCCCGTTTTGGATTCAGTGTGTCACTGTTCTGTGTAGTGGTCTTTTATCATATTACCTGCCTAGAACCTATGGTAGGCAGCCTGTCCAATGGTCCCCCAATGATGTCCACCTCCTGGTCTTCACACCCTCTCCCCTAGAATGTGGGCTGGACCTGGCAAGTTCCTTCTAAAAAATAGAACAGAACCTCAGAGATTAGGTTACAAAAAGGCTGTGGCTTCTGTCTTGGGCGCCCCCCTCACTCTTTCACTCCCTCGCTCTGAGGAAAACCAGCTGCCGTGTTGTGCGCTGCTTTATGGAAAGACACAGGTCAAGGGGCTAATGTCTCCGGCTAACAGCCAGCCAGGACCTGAGGCCTGCCAGCAGCCATGTGAGGGAGCTCGGAAGCAGATCTGCTGCCATTAAGCCTCCACACTGTACCTCGAATAACATCTTAATTGTGGCCTTGTGACAGATAGGGGTTGAATCAGAGATATCAGCTAAGCCACACCTGGACTCCTGACCTACAGAAACTCTTTGATAGTAAATGTTTGTTGTTTTAAGCCACCAAGTTTTGAGGTAATTTGTCGGCAACAGTGGATAACAAATAAAGGATCTCTTTCTTCTTCTGGGATAAGTTCCCTGGTTTGAGGAAACAATGTCATTTCTACCACTCTTGCGGTAAATGGGTGCTGCCATTTTCTTATGTGATTCTCTCATCCAAGTCTCAGTGATTGGTCAGTGAGTGGGCACCTGACCCAAACTGGATCAACTATATAACCTGTTACAAACATTGTAGGTCACCTACCCAACATCTGTTCCCTCTTTTCTCCTTCCTAGTAGAACCATAGCTCATGGGGACAGTAAGCCAGAGAGAATAAAGCTAACATACAGAGCAAAGTCGCAAAGAAAAACCGAGAAGCATTGTGTTGAGCACTTGAAACCTCTGTAAGGGAATCAACCAGGCTGGCCTTCTTACTTCATCTTAACTCTTTCTAAAAACCAGATGTCCCAGAACGAACTTGCTTTTTTCATCCCAAGATCCAGCATGGTGCACATTTCAGGAAACACTTGGTTCTCTTGGTAAAATGTAATTTCCTCAATTTAAAGACCTGAACCCTGGGGCTATGTATTTATGTCATTTTTCTGAATTTATATAATTTCATATAGCCTGTAGCAGAGTCTTTATCTTTCGAAGTCATGAGTTTGTGCTGATATTTTTGATTTCACCCCATCTTCCTTAAGCTCTTTCCTACCTTGTTCTAATACAGGAGCATCTTCATTTCTATTTAACTTTATTTTTTGAGCTACTGGTCTTTATTTTTAAGTTTTTGTTTGTTTGTTTTTAGATTTTATTTATTTATTTGACAGAGAGAGAGAGTGATAGCAAGAGCAGGAACACAAGCAGGAGGAGTGGGAGAGGGAGAAGCAGGCTTCCCGCGGGGCAGGGAGCCTGATGCGGGGCTCGATCCCAGGACCCTGGGATCGTGACCTGAGCTGAAGGCAGACGCTTAACGACTGAGCCACCCAGGCACTCCTGAGCTACTGGTCTTTATACCACTTCTATACAGCAATGCTCAAATCGGATTCCACATATCATGTTCTATATTTTCACATCCAACCATGTGTTCAGTTACAGGTGCCCAGATGTAAGAATATCAACATTCAAGTGTTACTCCATTATTATTATTTTGAGCTATCGAAGCTGCATTGCTAAGGCTTTGGCACTGATCTTCCCTGCTTTTCTCAGTATACCAGCGATAGCCCATATCACACAGATCCCTGCTTGCTGGGAACTGTGTCAGAAAGGAAGCTAAGTCTTTGGTAAAGTTTTTCTCTCATAGTTTTCTCTTGTATCCAAGCACATCATAGAGAAATATCCATGGTGCATTTACATTAGGACTCTCCCACTAAAATTTCAGCACATTTAAACAGAATCATCTTGCATACACAGTACATTGAGTAACATCATTATACAAAACAGCATGGAATCATTTTATGAAATTTGCACAAATGATCATATAATATTCTTGGAAGAGTATTATCATACTTGCTGTTTCATGTTATATGCCCTCATCTTGCAAAAGAGATTGCCTATAACTGGCCCTTTGGCTTCTATTCTATTACTGGTGGTCGGATCACATCCAGACTCTCTTCTTGTGCCCTTCCCTTACATTTGCGTGCTATTAGTGACCCCCAAGGCTCTTGGCAGTCTTGTTAACTAATCACCCACCCATCCACATGCAAACTTTAAACTTGGTTAAATTCCACCAGTGTATGTGTGACTCAAAGAGTACAGGTGTGAATACTCAAAAAGCTGGTTTTTACATTGGAAATTTCGAAAAATCTCAGGAACCCTGACTACAGAATCCTGTCTTTCCCTTGTTTAATCTTTACACACATGAATTCTACTCTTGGTGTTTTGTATATACTTTTTGCTGCTTGCTTATTTTTCAGCATATATCAGATATATGTAGGGAATATATTTTTAGGAAAATATAAATAAACTCAGTCTACCTTACTGTTCTCTTCCCCTTTGGCTATTCTTTTAACTGCGTTTTATTCCAAAATATGTAGATTTTTTTAAGATTTTATTATTAAGTAATCTCGACACCCAACATGGGGCTCAAACCCACAACCCCCAGATCAAGAGTCCCATGCTCCATTGACTGAGCTAGCCAGGCATCCCAAAATATGAAGATTTTTATTATTCCCTATTGGTGGACAAGATTGCCTCCAAATCATCACTATTACCAACGATAAGCATTTGTGTATATGTTTTGTGTCTGTATACAAATATGAGTATTTCTCCAGCATCCATCCCATAAGTGGACTTGCTGGGCCATAGGACATGCAGCTGTAATTCGGGGCGCCTGGGTGGCTCACTCAGTTGAGTGACTGACTCTTGGTTTCAGCTCAGGTCCTGATCGCAGGGTCATGAGATTGAGCCCCACATCGGGCTCTGTGCTTAGCACAGAGTCTCCTTGGGATTCTCTCTCCATCTCCCTCTGCTCCGACCCCTTGCTCTCTCTCAAATCAATAAATACATCTTTAAAAAAAAGAAAAAAGAAAGCTCTAATTCACGGCTGAATTGCTCTTCAAAGGGTTTTATCAATTTGCATTCCTTCTAACATTCTATCAAAGTACCTGTTTCCCTACATCTTCATCAACAGTGAATCATATCAGTTTTTAAGATTCTTGCCAGCCGGGCACCTGGGTGGCTCAGTCGGTTAAGCGGCTGCCTTCGGCTCAGGTCATGATCCCAGGGTCCTGGGATCGAGTCCCGCATCAGGCTCCCCGCTCTGCGGGGAGCCTGCTTCTCCCTCTCCCTCTGCCTACTTGTGTTCTCTCTCTATCTCTCTGTCAAATAAATAAATAAAATCTTTAAAAAAAAAAAAAAAGATTCTTGCCAGCCATGGGGCACCTGAGTGGTTCAGTTGGTTGAGTGCCTGACTCTTGATTTCAGCTCAGGTCATGATCTCAGGGTTGTGAGATCAAGCGTCACGTCAGGCTCTGTGTTCATCGGGGAGTCTGCTTGAAATTCTCTCTCTCTTGGGGCGCCTGGGTGGCTCAATCATTAAGCATCTGCCTTCAGCTCAGGTCATGATCACAGGGTTCTGGGATCGAGCCCCGCATAGGGCTCCCTGCTCAGCGGGAAGCCTGCTTCTCCCTCTCCCACTCCCCCTGCTTGTGTTTCCTCTCTCACTGTGTCTCTCTCTGTCAAATAAATAAATAAAATCTTTAAAAAAAAAAAAAGATGTTTCTTCCCCTTCAGGTTGGCAAAAATCTTTTTATTTATTTATTTTAGAGGTGGGGAGGGGCAGAGGGGGAGAGAAAGAGAATTTTTTTTTTATTTTTAAAAAAGATTTTATTTATTTATTTGAGAGAGAGAGCGAGCAAGAGAGCACAAGCAGGGGGAGCAGCAGAGGGAGAGGGAGAAGCAGACTCCCTGCTGAGCAGGGACCCCGAGGCAGGGCTCAGTCCCAGGACCCTGGGATCATGACCTGAGCCAAAGTCAGCCGCTTAACCAA